GATACTGACCTTAGAGAAAAGTAATATAGAAATCTGGGGGTCCTGGCTGCTGTGGTGTGGTACCTGGTCAGGGGATCAGCGTCACTTATATTAGTAGGCGTTTTTATGTTTCTTTAATACATATGCATATTTACTATCAGAAAACGGTAAAAAGCCAATATTCCCTATTGCTCTGTCAAAGGTCACTCTAGAAGACACTTTTCCCCTGTTAATATAGGTCTGCATTTGCAATCTTTCAATAGCATATTGATAATTTGCACCTATCAGCCAGCTGACCTCGTCAGTTCTCTTTATACTTTGCAAGTTCCCTTTCCCAGATCACTGATGCAGTTCTTCCTGAACAATTCAGTTTCCTTTTCTCAATCTCTTGGTGTTCTGTGTATGCACGTTAACGAGAAACATTTAACAGCTGTACCATCAGCTCCTTCTCTCAAAGCAGATGCTCTGCGTGGGCCTTTTAAGTGCTAAGAGCAGGGTAGTCTTGAACCAGTAAAACAAAAACGGGAAAGAATTATCATCTGTGCGTAGCAAGCTTGTGAAAGAAGGGGTAAATACCCAGCCAGGCAGAAGCACAGCACTGCAGGTACCAAGTTAACCACGAAATCTTTCTCTCTTTAGGTCTAGAGTCTCGTTTCAAGAAAAAATCAAGCTACATGCGCTACAGCTGTGAAAGCAGAATACGAAGCTACATGAAAGAGGTAAAAGCCTCTGTTAAGGTAACCTATTTTCAAGCTTCTAGTAAAAAGAATTCTGTGGCTGTGTGTCTATAAAACAGGTCTACAGCGCAACATCCTGATTCTAGAAAAGAGCCTCAGGCTGCTGTCTGACTAAGGAATGCTGGCTTGGGGTTCTTCCTGCCTCCCTAGGTTAGTGGGTTCATGCCAAACGTTCATCCTTCAGCCAGAGATGCATATAAAGGGGTAGTCGACCTGATGGCAGAGAAGCTGAAGTCCGTGAAGTACAACGGCTGCTACTTTGACAGGCAGGAGGAGGAGGCAGCGCGCCTGTGCACCGCCGAGGGCTGGTTCTCCTGCCAGGTACGGAGGGAACAGCTGCTGGGATGCTGGGCACGGTGACGGTGTCCCAGTGAGCAGGATGTGTCTCTGCTTCCAGCACGACGGGCTGGGAGCGCGCTGGGATGGCGAGGACGTTCCCTTCCCTTCACCGCGGCTGGTTTTGTTTTCCAGGGCCCTTTCGACAGAGACGCCTGCCCCTGTAAGCACTCCATCAACCCCTACAGCAACCGGGAGAGCAGGATCCTCTTCAGCACCTGGAATCTCGACCACATGTGTGTATGAAGCAGCTTTATCGTAGGCAGGAAAGGCGCAGCCGTCGAGTCTTTACCCGCTGCACCGCGAGCAGCGCGCTGGGAGCAAAGCCGCTTGGACGCTGCGGCCGTTTCTGGGCACACGAAATCCTGGAGACGGCCTCTAAAGCCGTCTGACCGTAGCTGCTTTGCTTCCGCTCAGATTTGCTTTGTCGGGAAA